CGTTAACATTTTATGGTCTCAACTGCATTAAAAATCAAGGGCGTCACTAAAGTCATTCATTCATCAATAAACAAATTATTAAGTCTCCTATTAAAAAAAAGGCTCGTATACCGAACATTCTAGAACCCTGTTAACCTCTCAGCTGCTGACTGCTTAAGACCCGACAGTTTAATCACTATCCCGTGAGCCATTAGCAAATCCTTTATTTGGGATCATACATGTGCCTCAATCCTTCCCCCCTAATATTAATAGCAACCTGCTTATTCCAGCAGAAAATAAACAAAAAAAATAAACGAATACAGAAGCCTTGGCAATTTTATATTCTCACCAAAATCTATGTCTACCAAAGGACAGTATTTAGCTCACAAAATTAAATCGCAAACGTCTGACCATAGGAATTCCTCACTCCTCAGACAGAACATGCCAATCAATATTTTCAAATTTAATTATTGTTCCTTTTTAGGAACTAAACTTATGTTTTCCTTAAAATTAAATTATATTTTTTTTCTTTTCATTTTTATAGATATTATATATACAATAAGTTTTAATATATCAAAAAACATTTGCTAAATACATCACCTAAGCTCACTTCATTTTAAATAGGTCTCCAAGCATCTACCTCCTCATCAAGCTTTTTTTAAAAATTCTCAAAACTTTTAACTACATTCCTTAAAATTCTTTACTCTCTTCGATTCGCCCTCAATTTTCAAATTTACAATGATTCATTAAAATCATTTCCAACTTCAGTCAAATATCTTGCTGAAGAGATCCTTAATCTTCGCTTTAATCACAATTTACGGTTACAAGCATCTCTTACATGCAAGTTTGGGGGTATCAGCTTACGTTTACCCCTTAACAATAATATCAACCTGAGCCAGGCTATTTTTTTCTAAACAATACCCACGAAACTATATTCAACAACTAACATGGGCATGTGATTATCTGTTATATACTCTTTCCTCCCAAGATAGAACTTTTTTTATTATAGGGCTTCATCAAATAAGATGACAACGAAAATGCATCAACAGTCACCATAACATGTGGCATATTTTTTTTTATTAAAGCCAGGGAATAATTTGTCAGATAGTAGATCAAGAGTCTTTTTAACAATTTCTGTACATTATTTTCTAAAGTAGCTATTTTTTTAATACCCCCCCCCCTTATTCTGCTTTTCAATAGCCCTAACATCAATAAATAGGAAATATTAATGAAAATCTATGTTTGTAATATAAAAAAATTTTTTTTTAATTGATATCCACTATTGTGAGGACCTTTTACATAGATATGTTTTTGCATCCAGGCCACTAAAACAATTGGGGAACCCTCAATGAAGCAGGAATGATTTAAATTAAATGTACTCTTTCTCAATCCTTTCCTTAAAAGAGCTTCGGTCATTTATATATCTTTAGCAGCTTTCCAAATCCCTACATGCTGATTTTTTAAAATATGTATGCAACAGCAGGATCTCGGATATCCTTGAACCATATGATAATTGTGACTGAGAAACAGAAAGATATTATTTTCCTCATGATCACAAAATTCACGATTCCAAATTTCCTTTATATTTGCCATCTTCCCATAACACTATATGATATGTCTTATTTGTTATATTATTATTTAAAGTTATTTATTTAAAAAAAAAATTGTTATGTATTATTTATCATTTTATTATTTAAAAATTAATTTATTTTTTTAAGAACTCGTGATTTCTTTGTCCCCCAAAAAAAGTATAAAAGGGGCGAAATTATATAAATTATAAATAACTTTTTGATTTTTTTTTAAATATGGAGTTGATATTGATTTTAGTCTTAGAGTTGGTTGGTAAAATAGCGTTATAACTGGTGGAGTTGTTTTTTAGCGTTAAAACTGGTAGAGTTGGTTGGTAAAATATCGTTATAACTGGTAGAAGTTGTTTTTTAGCGTTATAACTGGTAGAGTTGTTTTTTAGCGTTATAACTGGTGCAGTTATTTTTGTATCATATGATTTTCGCAATATGCAATTGCGATAGACATTATTTAAAATAAAAATAAAAACAAGTGTAATCGTATCGAATCTAACTATGTATTTGACAGAAATTACAAATTCACTTTACAATTTTATGAAATTTCCATCTCGTAGTTATAAATTTTTTGAACCCTCATAGGTACCATTTGCATGGCCCGGCCCAGATTTCTCTTCGACCCAGCCCGGTCCGGTCCGGGTTTTTTCAAAAAAGATTTCAGGCCCGGGCCGGGTTTAGGGCCGGGCATGCGCGTCTCTGAATAATATTTAAGCGTATAATTCGTTTATTTTCTTTTCTATGCAAGAATAAGTCCTTTATATTTTGAAGATTCTTTCGCTTACTCATGGTTTAAGTTCCCTGTAATTTCTTTTAAAGATTTTTTTTTTTAAAGTTTAATGTAAAACAAATTGATATTTTACCAATTTTGAACAAAGAATTTGGACGAACCCGGCCCAACCCAAGCTTGATTTAAAATTTTTTTAAAAATTTAGGACCAGACTGGGTGCAATTAGTTAAAGATGTGAACCTAGAGGACTCGGAACTTGATCGAAAAAAAACGGCTCTATACCCGACTTTGATGTACATTGCCAATTAAGATGCGAATAAAACAATTATTTTAATAATTGTACTAGCGGATCTATCAATTATTGTTTTTAATATTTATCTTTTATATTTATTTTCAACCTTAAAAACTTTGAATTAGCCATCAATCAATCAACTTTTTTTACAAAATAGGGTGGTAGCTATATGAATTTATTTACAAAGTTTTTAAAACGCTATAGAGAGCCCTTTAACATGTGGAGTTACGAATCAATCACGTCAATAAAATCTGAGAGGTCCCTCGGGAGGAGGGGGGGTGTACACCCTCTTGCGTACAGCATTATTAACTAAGTGGGGTCTAGTTAGAGGTTCGTTGTTATTAAAAGGAATCAATCAAAGTCAATCAAAATTTTTTAAGTTAGATACAAACAATATGATTTAACTTTTTATTAAGTAACGTTATGGCTTACAGGAGTGGGAAAGAGTTAAAAAAATACTATTTTTGACGTTTAAAAAGAAAGAAAGAAAGAAAGAAAGAAAGAAAGAAAAAGAAAGAAAAGAAAGAAAGAAAGAAAGAAAGAAAGAAAGAAAGAAAGAAAGAAAGAAAGAAAGAAAGAAAGAAAGAAAGAAAGAAAGAAAGAAAGAAAGAAAGAAAGAAAGAAAGAAAGAAAGAAAGAAAGAAAGAAAGAAAGAAAGAAAGAAAGAAAGAAAGAAAGAAAGAAAGAAAGAAAGAAAGAAAGAAAGAAAGAAAGAAAGAAAGAAAGAAAGAAAGAAAGAAAGAAAGAAAGAAAGAAAGAAAGAAAGAAAGAAAGAAAAAAGAAAGAAAGAAAGAAAGAAAGAAAGAAAGAAAGAAAGAAAGAAAGAAAGAAAGAAAGAAAGAAAGAAAGAAAGAAAGAAAGAAAGAAAGAAAGAAAGAAAGAAAGAAAAAAGAAAGAAAGAAAGAAAGAAAGAAAGAAAGAAAGAAAGAAAGAAAGAAAGAAAGAAAGAAAGAAAGAAAGAAAGAAAGAAAGAAAGAAAGAAAGAAAGAAAGAAAGAAAGAAAGAAAGAAAGAAAGAAAGAAAGAAAGAAAGAAAGAAAGAAAGAAAGAAAGAAAGAAAGAAAGAAAGAAAGAAAGAAAGAAAGAAAAAAATTGAACGTGAACCCGTTCCTTTTTTATGACGAACGCGTTCGAACTTAACGTTCGTTCAATTTTTAAAAATATTTTTATTTTTATTTTTATTTATTTGAAAAATTTAATATTTCCCGCATTTTTTTTTTTAAAGTATATTATTTATATTTTTTTAATCGGCTGTGTATTTCCTTTTCACATTTCAATTTTTTTTAACACATAGTTTATTAATTTGAATATTATTGTTTATATTTTAATTTAATAGATTAGCATAAGCATGGATATTATTATTTAATCCTAATCATCTGATTCTGAAAATCCAAAATTAGATGAATCATCATTATTACTATGTTGCCAAATATGATAAATGTTTTACATTAACATCCTATATTGAAGGAACTAATCCCTGATGCTTAGCAAGTTTAAAATGTGGCCAAAAGGTATTATATTGGTCAAAATCTTCAGGTTCCAATTTTAAAACGACATTCGATTTTAATATTAATTATTTGATTTTATATGATATAACTAAGTTAAATCATTAAATTTGAAGAAATAATGCATTTGGGATATTCGATCCTAACAATAACGATAGTTATTTTAAAATTAAAAAATTAGTGGCCTCAAATATGGTTTAACCATTGATAGACGCCGTATTAAATGGGATTAATAAATCAATTAATTACATATATTTTATTTTTCAAAGATTTGAACATATATATAAGGATCTATATATTCTTTCTGCAATTATACATCCAGCATTCAAACTTCAATGGCCATGGATATCCACAGAACGAACATATTAAAAATAAACTTATAGCTTTATTGAGAAAAAATGCTTCAGAAAACCCTAGAGAACTGTTAATTTCGAGATATCCTTTTATTTTGTCGAGAGTAGAGAATGGATTGGAGGAGGATAACTTCTCTCAATTTTTTTCAAATAACAAAACAATATGTTTTTAATTAATTCTCCACGTTAAAAGAGCTCTTTATTAAGTATAATACCGCATTCCCCTCATCTGCCCCTGTAGAGCGTGTTTTTAGGCTAATGCCTTAGTAACTGCCAAGTGTTCCTGTCTATCAGATAAATATTTTGAAAACAATTGTTATTAAAATTTAATAATAAAAAATTTTATTCGCTATATTATAATTATATTATTATATTTTATTTATAATTATAATTATCAAAATAAAACTAATATTTTTTAACATGGCCAAAATATATTGTATTAAAAAAATGTAGGTTTATTTATATTAAATTAAATTTTTAAAAAATTTATCATAAAATTTTGAACGGTTTTATGAACGTGAACGTTGACCGCGAACGCGTTCGATTTTTTTAGAAATGTTTACAGCACTATTATAGACTAAACATTTATTTATTTTTTTATTTTTTAGTTATACCGATCACAAAATAATTATCTATTTTTTTTTAAATATAATTTATTTGATATTACATTACAGCTCGATTGGTTAATTTATAAGGAATATCAATGGCATTAATACTATCCCATACTGACGATTCATTCATTAAAAAAATGCACACACACACACATTGAAGTCAGCTGTAATACCGCGCCATTGCTTGTATTAGAGAGTCTATTGAAATGTCGTTCACATATCACCTAAACGCCTTTCAACAACGAAATTCTAACGCTTTTTTTAAAATACATTTTAATGAATGAATGAATGAATCATCAGCCTAGGATATTATTAAATATCATATATATATATTGTATATTGTATATATGGAGAAAGTTTAAAAGGTGAAATACAAGGATTAATTTACAATGATTCAAATAAGATTTCGATTTTTTTTTAAATAATAATAAATATATTTTATAAATAATAAATAAATCATTTTTTCAAAAAAAATCTAAATTATCCGATATGGAGTCAGGTGACGTTGTTGTGCTTTCGTCGTTGTAGTAATCCAATTCACTGTCCCTTTTGTGTCTGGGATATAACGACGTATCTTGTCTGGGGTATAACGGTTTATCTTGTCTGGGGAATAATGGTCCAGTCTTATTTCGATGATTTTGCTTTGCCTTCAACAGCAACGCCTTAATTTTGTAACTTTTGCCGCTCGCATTCTTCTTGTGGGGATATGGTTTAATAATGGGGTTGGGAGACGTGGTATTTGGAAGGATTGCCATATTGATAGGATTGTAATCTGTTCTGCCGTCGTAGCTAGGTGCAGGCAAATAAATCTTGGCGGGTTTCGCCTCGGCAGGATTTTTGGCGGGAATTTTGGGATTCGGTGAATCGGGGAAAAATTGGCACGCCTTAATCTCGAATTTGCTCTTCAATAAGCATTTTTGAATTTTATCGCAAAATAGCGTGTTTTCGGGGCATTTGTAAGCCCTGGGACGCCAATAAAAAGCTTGAAAGTCGTAAGAGCATATGTAGAATCTAATGTTTCATGTTGCATTAATTTAATGAATATATATATATATATATATATATATATAAATAAATTATAAAATCAAAATGAGGAACCTTTTTTTTTTTAGTTAGATTTTACCTTCGGCTGTCGAAAGGATCTGGGATATAAGACCTTTGGCTGTATTTCCCGGTTAATAAATGGTAGTTGTTATTGTTATCAGCCTTTTTCAAGCAATAATCTTAATTTCATATTATTTATTTTTTTTATGATAATAAAAGGATAAATTAATATGATAAATTGGTTACGATAATCTTAAATTATAGTCAGAATTCGAATAATTTTACATAATTTTGTAATATATTTTCTTGAGTAAATTCTTACCTTATTATTGATGTCACGGTCAGTAGTGTCGATATGAGTGAGTGGGAAAGGGGGGGAGGGGGGGGTTAGAGATTTAATCCTCCTAAAAATCTTTATATGCCCAACCACACACCCCCCTTAAGACATTTATTTTTTAGATATGGTTCATCATCTTCGAAGATCTGAGAGTAGAATTAGTGTTCGATAGAATTGCTTAAAACTTATTTTTGCTTGCTGTTGGAAATTCTTACATTAAAAAATTAAACCCGCTCTCAAAAGTTGAAAAAAAAGTGATGTTCATTAGTTGTAATCTACGAGTAGCGTTTGTTTAACCGGCTCAATTCTAGCCGATTACGACACATCAGCTGCTCTGAATGTCGTGTGGTGTTTGGTCGTGTCGCTATCGCTCTCTACTGTGTAGTGTTGTTAGGGATAACTCAATATTTTTATCCAGAAAAAAAATATTATGCAAGCCCTAAAGATTTTGCTCATAGATGGCATATAGGATTGAACATCTGTTTGGCGAGATTCCGACGATCAGACAATATTCTCCTGGCTATAATGTTGAGTTGGCCGTTTTAAAAAAAATCTCTATAATTATTTATATTAAATTGGTAAATTAAACCCCCTTTTTTTAAAAAAAAAAAAAATTGATTCTCAGGCCTTTTGTAACAGATTTATCATTGGTTATATATAAGTGTCAGTCAAAGTGTTTTTTCCCGGCAAATGTGCAAAATATTTATAATCACTTTTTGAGCGTGTTTTTTTAAAAAAAAATTTAAATATCATATTTTACCGGAAATACAAACTTATCTTATTGAATTATAGACAATTTTGCTGTTGAATTTTGTGTCATTTATAATTAATGTAAAAAAAAGAAAGAAAGAAAGAAAGAAAGAAAGAAAGAAAGAAAGAAAGAAAGAAAGAAAGAAAGAAAGAAAGAAAGAAAGAAAGAAAGAAAGAAAGAAAGAAAGAAAGAAAGAAAGAAAGAAAGAAAGAAAGAAAGAAAGAAAGAAAGAATGGAAAAAATTTAAATATAAATTCTATTAAGTTCTAAAGTTCTTATAAAGTTCATGGCAAAATTGTCCGAAATTTATGGGATAGGTATTCCCAAACACGATACTTTAACGCTCGCATATACATATAACATGCAGGCCAAATCATTATTAAATATTTTTTATTTTTATAGTTATACTTTATATAATATTATTTATTTAAAAAATTTTAATAATAATAATATTAAAACACTATAAAATTAAAATATTATTTAAAAAAAAATACAATCTCTTAATTGGGTTCCCAAAATGGAACCATAATTATATCTTAAAAAATTTCTATCCGAATTTTTTTTGACGTGTATATATATATAAATATTTTTTAGACTTCGTTTGTAAAGAGTCGAATTTTTATGCCTAAGCTTTTTTGCAAAACTTATAGGTTAGTGGTGGAGAAAAATAGCTGTTCCTGGAAGTCCATTATTTGAGTAAAAATAGGAAGTCGTAAATTTTTCTATTTATTGATCCTTTTTTTGTTTCTGCTTACCTCGGTGGATTTTATATTTATGTTAGATGGGGATTGAAGAGACGCCATATGTAGTCTCATATTAGTGATCCTAATCGAGGTATGGTTAACGTATCATCAGGTCTTAAGCCATTTTTTTAAAAAAATTTTTGGCACAAAAAACCGGCTCTTTACTAAAAAGAAAGCTAAATAATTTTTATTATATATATATATATACGTCGAAAAATTTATACAAATTAATTTTTGGATATAATTATGATTCCCATCTGGGAACACAATTAATAAAATTGTATTTTTAAATATTTTTTTTATTTATAGTGTTTTTAAATATTAAAAAATAGAAATAATTACTAATAAATAGAAAAAAATCACACACACCTATATAAAATGTGTACTTTACTTTCTAATTCTAAGCTATTAGGAAAAAAAAGTTCATTTAGCAGAGATTTGTCTAACACAAATTTTAGTGCCGGAGCTAATTAGAAAAAAAATTTGTTCTTCAAACTATCGGAAATTTTTTAAAATTAAATTGAAAAAAAAATAATTTTCAACAAATTAGCCCGGTTGACCCTACCAGGTCCTGTAACCGTATACCCGTGTACTCTAGCTGGGTTCGGTCAAAGCTTACATATCTTTACTTCTTTTTTTATTAAAATAATAAATTTAATTTCGCTAATATATCTATGATTGAAAACTTAAATTTTTAACGATTTTATAACCCTATTTTTCTATTTAAAATTTAGGTTGTAATGATTTCCGGATGTATAAAATTTTTATATTCAATAATAAAGTTATTATCCCTTCTTGTATATGGTAATAATAACAAAGTTGTTAAAAGATACTTTTAAATGGATCTAGATACAGATATTTTAATCAAAAATCTATCTAGATACATATACAGATACCATATTTTGATATCTAGATACAGGATCTAGAAACTTTAAACAACTCTGAATAATAATAATAATAATAAATCCAATCATATATATGCATTTTTAAAAAAAAAAATTTTTTTTTTACCCTTAATTTTTCGACTAAAATTAATCTTGGATCGCTTTAGCTTCTCTTCATAGTTGACCGGTAAAGTCAGATGTTTGTTACGATTCGCGTTTTGAATAGCGGGCGGATAATTATTGAAATTGAATCCTGATCCTAATTCGTACGAGTTCTGGGGGTAATTGGCTTGGGAGAGGTCGCGCGTGGCGACGAATATAATGACGACTGTTATCAGCGCGGGGCGTACCATTTTTGATTTCAAGTTCCCCTGCGTGTAGCGAGGTAAAGGTTTTAAGTTAATTATCATTTAAAATTATTAGTTAAGTTTAAATTATTTTACTTTTGTTATAATAATATATATATTACCAGTCAAAAATTGTTCTCAAAATTTTTCGAGATATATTAGTTGTACAAATGGGTTTCACCACGTTCACAAAAAAAAACTGATTTTTTATTGTTTATTTTTATAATTACTTTCCCTTTAAGGAAAACTTTATTTCGACTAAACCACTTAATTGTGTTAAATGTTGATTTTTTTGTATCGGTACATTTAAGTATTTTGTATCTTCTGGCCATAATTATCACAAAATTTATATATATATATATATACATATTATTTTTCTTACGCAATAAAAAGTAGAAAGAAATCAAATTGTTTGTATAGTAATTATGTATATATATTCATCGATCACAGAATAGATAATTCAAAATATAATTTAAAGAAAAGCCTTTTTAAAAGATTGAAATATTGAGTATTAAATTTTTATAATTTTTTTGAGGATTTTTCCAAATATAGGATTAGGTAATAAGGAGGTGAATTTAAATTATCGGTATTTTTAAAAAAAAAGATGTAAAAATATGGCATTTCTTTT